ACACAATGATGGTAAGAAGCAATTATTGTCATTATTATAAACATGGAAAGCAATCGAAATTTCACCACGGGCAGTTTGTGGTGGAAAAAGTCAAAATCTTGGAACGGATGTTTTTTGGTGTGCTATGAGAGCCAATAATAACTTAAACGTGTGTACGAAGCGGAATGATTTTATGTCCAGGTTTACTCTTTTTAGACAAGATGGCAATTTTTGGACATGATTCCAGGTTTGTTGTATGCCACTCAAAACCTTTCAGCATTAAACAGTTCCGGTCACATCATCGCAGGGGCCAAGCATTTCTGCGTCTAAACGGTTGTTATGCAACGGCATTGACATGATTTGAAAATGGACGCTTTTTAGGACGCAAAATGGTCTCAGTTAATATCTTTCGAACCACTTAAAACAGAAGGCTGATTTAACTTGCAAACGATGTACACGATGTTACAAGTTGTTGACCACATTCTTGTTACCGGGTGATAGAAAAAAGTTTTGACCACAACCATTTTTTTCAAAAGAGGTGCAAATTTTGAAAATGAGAGCATTTTGTATAAAATGGAACATTGTGCCCATTTAGTGTGTATACAAGCGCTTGCGCGCTTGCTTCGCAGCGCTGATGTAAAAGTTAAATATTTCATTAGGTATCTTTTGCAGCTGGAGTCGGGGTTCTGCGTGTCCTGGTTGCCGAGTCAACGCGCAAAGTGTGAAAAAAAATTGGCCGCACGCCGCGCGCGGTGCTGGCGGTGTCTGGCGGCCGCCGGCGGGAGAAGAGCGCATTTCGCCGGCGCCCCCTGCAGCACTGCCGAACCTATTCCATGGGATCGAGGATTGATCATGAGAGGTGGTGGGTGATTTCTGTACCTTCCATCAACTGTCAGCCTTTTGAATGATGGCAGTACGCACTGCCCTTGCACTAAACAGCACTTCTATTGTATCGAACAGTGAAAAAACAGTCGGTGGCGGCCAAATCAATTTTTCTGGCTCGCGCACACGTGACACTACAATCTATATCACGTGCTTGTCCAGGTCGATTCCCCATCAATGCATTGCTACTCCCGAGTGCGCCCCGTGCCCCGGATGATGCGATGCGGCACAAAACGTGTAGAACTGTGGAAAAGAGCAGAATCCAGCATGCTAAGTAAAAACCGTCCATCATCACGTATCCTGGCATCATCGTCAGCCGGCAGCGTGACATAACAGACTACGTGACTTTGTGGTCATGTCACGTGATGTAGGACGAATACTGGGCCATGATTGGTGCTGGCAAACGTGCTGACGACAGGTCGAACGCGGCCCAACACAGGAGCTATCAAATCGAACTCCCCGCTTCAGTCGGAGGACTTTTTTAATCTGGTACCGCCTTCTCTCCATGCTGACGGGCTCACAGGGTCTCCTGGCACCATCGTCAGCTGGCGCGTGACGCAGCATGCCACTTGACTTTGTGGTCACGTGTCGTGACGTAGGTCGAATACCAGGCCGTGATTAGTGCTGATAAACGTGCTGACGACAAATCCAATCGCGGCCCAGGCCGCACTGTTCGATCTGTCGTCAGCACGTTTGTGAGCTGAAATACGTGACGTTATGCGTGCTGACGGCGCGTTTCGATGTGTGGGTTGAGGAGAAAGTTTACAAACTTTACTTTCTCTTCTTTCTTTACCTTTTTACTTCAGCCCACACCCTAACTCTGGCCTACCGCAGACATACTACGTACGGAGTGGTGTTTGAAAGCGTGGCTTCTCCTCTGCTATTACCATCATGTGTACCGTCCATATGTTGAATGCTTCTTTCCACCTCCAATTCATTTCAATTTAATCCCTCCCATTCAAGTGTTTACTTGTAACGCTGTTAATTTGCAGGCAACGTTACCACACACAACACCGAGCATTGTCACTCACCTTTTTCATGGATGCTCTTTGGCATTTTAAGTCCCTCCTGATCTATCTCACCTCGCATTTCTCCCAGAACCAAAGACAAGTAAGAGGCCCCCACCCCCACGTAAAGCACTCGCCAACGTAGAGCTACCAAATCAAGCTCCCGCTTAAAACGCGCACGGGCGGCCGGCTAGATACCCTTTGCTCGGGTGTGGGGGCTCAGTTTGACCCCACTGAGATCTCGGGACCTAAGAAAGCTAGAGACACCAAATTTACAGGGTGTCTTGACCTGTACGTGAACTCACTTAGGTCAAAATTTAAGCTTCCTAGGTTATGCTCTTCAGGTAAAAAGGGTCCAACAATGTCAAATTCCAGGTTGGTCTCCGAAGCGCCCCCCGAACCTACGCAACTGTTTGTAAGCAAAAAATCACATTCTCATTCAAGATCAGTGGCGTTGTTTGACCTTCTGAAGGCCAAAGTTACCAAAATCATGCAAGATTGCTTTGAGTTTTGCATTTGACTGAACGACAAAGATAACGCTAGGCAGTATGTTCCTAAAACAAAACGTTGACCTGGGTCATTTTAGGTCAGTGACCTATTTCTAACCTCTAAGAAGTCCATGGAAAGATGTATAATGGGTTCCCGCCATCAGCAAATTCGAAATGAGCGCCAGAAACTATACCATGCAGCAAGCCCTAGAGTAGCAAAACAGGTTGGTTTGACCTTGGTATGACCTTATACCTGACCTTAAGTCGATATACTTTGCTCATTTAACTGCTGTGCTGCCTACGAAAGCATCCCAGAGATGTATGGCTTGGTCTAACACTCCGTTGTTATATCAGATTGAAGGATTCCCTAGAAATTGCCTTCGCTGAAACCATGGCCGACTTTGACCTGCCATAGGTCAGTGACCTTGCAATGTACACCTATATTTGTAACGCCAAACGATCCGCTATTCAATTGTCTACAGGCTATTGCAAAATGTGGCGCGGCTGCGCCGGGACGTCCGGAAACAATTCCGGGAAAACCTTCGCAGGTCAATTTAAACCCCCTACCCCACTCGAGCGCGTGCTACCGCTAACACTTGGCGCAAACACATTATTATTCTGGAATACCCTGGGAAATCCGGCAAATTAATTTCCTTGCATGCGTGGATATGCCCGGTACCCTTGTAACCCAGATGTAATATTCATTTTTGCCTGGTGTCAGTGGTCTTAGCTGTGGCATCCCAATGTCAACCCTATCTTCAGGTTCACCAGCGTCTGCAGCAGGTAGAGCGCCGGCTTACAGCCCTGCGCGGCGTACTGGCTCTCGAACGGCATGGCCGCCAGCACGGCGTCCACGGTCATAGGCCCCACAGCGGCCGCAACCGCACGCCGCTGCGCGTTCGAAACGCCTGCCGCCATGGGTCATGTGGAAAGCGAGACCCTGGCAGTGCCAACACTGCAACGGTATCTAACCGTCACTGTGCCGTAAACGGAAGCAAAAAATGCTTACCTGTCAATGCTTTCGTTGTTTTCATCACAAGTTTCAGCGAGAAGCAAATCCACAACAAAACTGCACGTATGATCTTATGAACATGCCCCCACCCCAGAAAAAGAAAAAAAATACTTGTGGCAAAACGAATTATTCATTCTACTGCAAAACATCAAGTGGCTGCAAAAGCACTCACTTGATTCTATACGGCGCTCGCTGGTCTCCAATAATTCCAGGCAGGTACAGTGGCAGACAAGCCATCAACGCATCTACAAATGCCTTCATGATATGGCGTACAAAACACTTCATTACACAAACGCAGCAGCTCACACTGGCGCGCCCATCATCAGTGTGTACAACTAAAAACAAATCCAGTTCAATAATCAAGCAACCATTTAGCCTTTTCTAATTCGCACCGGAGAGCCCATTCGCATAAATTCAACAAAACATCCAGAAAACACACACTGCTTTGTAAAGGGAACAACAAGTAACTGGTGTTCAGCTGCTCAGCACAAACAACGCAGACCTACGAGAGCAGGTCCCGAGCAGCGCCAGTTCCAGCACTGCATGGTGACCTGACCGCGCCCCCGCCGCCGGACCTGCTCAGCCGTCCTTCAGGTTCACCAGCGTCCGTAGGTGGTAGAGCGCCAGCTTACAGCCCTGCGCGGCGGTACTGGGCGACAAAGATTACGCTGGGCAGCATGCCCCTAAAACAAAATGTCGACCCGGGTCTTCTCAGGTTTTCTCTTAGGTCGATGACCTTTTCTGACCTCAAAGAAGTCAATGGAAAATGTATAATGTGGTTCGTGCTGTCAATAAATTCGAAATGAAGCACCACAAGTTGTCCCATACATCAAGCCCTAGAGTAATAAATTGACGGGTTGGTAGTGACCTTGGTCTTGAACTTCATACCTGACCTTGGGTCAACGTAATTTGCTCATTCAACATTTGTGGTGCGTAAGAAAGCACCTCAGAGATGTAGGGCTTCGTTAAACACTCCGTCATTGCATCAGATTGGACAATTCCCTAGCAAACTGCTTTCACCAAAACCATGGCCGGACTGTGACCTGCCATAGCCCAACGATATTACAAGGAACATCTAAATTTTTTATGTCAACGATCCACTATTCAATTATCTACTGCATGCAAATTTGGCGCGCCTACATCGCGCCGTTCGGAAACCATTCTGGAAAAACCTTCCGGGGGATCAATTTAACCCCACCCGAGCGCGTGGTAAGTGTTTTTTAAATCTGGTAGCGCTTTCTCCTCATGCTAACAGACTGGCAAAAATCCTGACATCGTAACGCCCTCGAGCCTGTTAATACTGGTTCTTACTAAGAGGGGAGCCATGTTTAGTACCGATTTGTGCTAAAACTGGCGGAATTTAGCACGCATAGATCTTAAGGTATCGCATCCCGCGGCGTGACGTCCAGCACAAGTGATCGCTTAGTTACTTGACTTGACGTTTGGGCGAACGCCGGGCTGTGATGTTGCTGACAAACGTGCCGACGATAGATCGAACGCGGCCCCAGTTAGTCTGTTACAAATCTAGCGCATGTGGCTCAAAACTCTTGACAGGTCACATGTTTTCTTTGCTGAGGCGCTGGCGTTCGATTCGTGTGCTGTGTCGTGGAGTCTGCCAATTTTGTGTGCATTAGAAAGCGCTGACAACGTTGTTTTGTAAATTACTTTTCTCTTTTCCTTTTGTGCCTTTGCTTCACTGAGGGGCATTATGGTAAGCCTCATGTGTGTTGTCCATGTTTCTCACGGAATTAAGCGTACTTGCAAAATTATAGGTAACCCCAAAGTATACTTCTGACATTTTCGTGCCAGCTATATAATAGCTATACTTAGTACTTTGCACAGCTATGTGGCCCAATGTAACTACCTGCTCAAACTCACTGTGCTGGCCTATGGGACATTTACAGAGGGTTTCTGGTTGTACTGGATGAATTCCCAGAGTGACAATTATCATGCACTTTTGTAAGGCCCTGAAAATTAAAAAATTAGTCATGCAACAAATTGCGAGAAATAACAAAGTTGCTTTGAAGCATGTGGCCTTGTATTGGCTGCAGGTGACATAACATATAGTTTTGGATTAACAGAGGCTGGATCAAATAGTTCCCTCCAGTACAGCAAAGGCATTAATGAGGTGTGTTTGTGGGATAGAAATACCTGTCTTGCAGAAAGAAACCCAACACCTAATGACAACAAAGCTATGTTAAGCTATTGCCCAGCATCATATAACATCCTCAGGCTATTAGATTTTGAGTACTCTTATTTGTTGCTTTTCATATTGATATGTGTGAGCAGATTGCCACAAATTAGTGTATCATTTGTAACAGCTATTGATGAGCAGCTAAGATTTTTTGATTGATTGTGGCCTATTGCACCATTTTTTTTTAAATCCTTAGAATGGCATTCATGCATGGGCATCAATTTATCCCTTGTTTATCTCAAATTTATGATCTGCATGCTGCCATCCCAGATCAGGATATAATGTTACCTCTATCTCTACCAGACAGCACGGCCTTGAGAATTAACTTGCCACATATTGCTACAGCACATCTGCTTCAGGTCTGGGGTTAACAACCAGTGGCCAGTCTCTGGCCAGCATGCTGGCCAAGAGCAGGTAGCCAATGCTAGGGAAACTACTTGGCTTGGCCATAAGGCCTAGATGGAGCAATGTCATGAGCAAACACCCAACAGGCAGGGTTGGTTCTTTGTAATTGGCCAGGCTTATAAATATTGACATGTTAGCATGTGTATGGGGTATTTGTTGAGCAGTAGGTATCTCAAGGTTTTTGTGTTGTTTGCTCAATTTTGTACTGCTCTCTTTTATAAGAATGAATCCTGTTTTCTATGGTTTTATCACTATTTGGCAAGCACCACAAAGTAAAGTTGTACATAAATTGATAAATGACCAATCTGAGACAAAAATGGCCAGTTAATAGGATGGGCCATTTTGGACAGATTTTGGTGAATCAGTTAAATGAATGATTTAATTAAAACCAGGCTTTTAAGCCAGGCAGACTAGGTATCTTCAAAACCACTGCAGATTCATCACTGCTCATGGTGGGGACAGGAAATTGCATGCTGGTTAGTGCTGCTACACTGGCTGCTACATTGAGCAGAGCTGCTGTATTCACCCTACTACAATGGGGGTTATTTAGTGAGCCTAGATGGCCAGTTGAATACCCTTTACTTGGGTGGTGAGTAAATCTGATGCCCATGAGATCTCAAAAAGTACATGAGTTGGAGGCATATGATGTACAATTTTTGTTTGGCATTTGAACTTAGTAGTATGAAAACATGAGTTTTCTGGGACATAACATTTGGTTCAAAGAAGGTCAAACAAGGTCAAATTCAATATTCATACTCAGCTTGCCCCAGACCTCATGCAACCACCTTAAACCTAGATACCTGCTCTAAGCAAAAGGTCATTGGTGTTCATTTAAGTCAGTGACCCCCTAAGACCTTAAGAAGGTCAAAGATGCTGAAAGGTTTTGATTTTTTAGTCAACTAAGAATAATGAATTATGCTAGGCAGTAGCACCCTTAAAGCAAAATGTTAATCTTGGTAATTCTGTGTCAGTGACCTACTCTGATGTCCAAGAACTCCATGGGTGATTTTGAGGTCCTTGTGGTTGGTACTTTCAAAATGAGCATCAGAAACTACATACAGGATAATCTGGAGTAAAGAAGCCACTTGGCTTTGACCTCTACCTGATCTTCAAACATGAACCTAGGTCAATAAAATTTGTTGTAATTCCAAATTTGATTGTTTTATTGCCCAGGAAACTATCTCAGAAACATATTGTTTCATCTTACACCATGCTGTTGCATCAGATCAAACAGTTCCATAGAAGTTGCCTTTGCCAACATCCACAGCCAAATTTTGACATTCCATAGATCAGTAATCATACAAGGTGCATCTATTTTTTATATCAAAAGACCCACTATTCAATTGCCTACAGCTATGCAAAGTTTGGTGCGGCTTCGCCGTGCCGTTCGGAAATTATTTTTAAAAACAGTCAGGGGTCAAATTTACCCCCACCCGAGCGCGTGCTAAAGGGCGGTTAGGAAGGGGCTAATTCCGTTTTGTTGATTGCTAAGTGAATGATTTTTGATGCGATTAAGTTGATGTTACGAAAATATACAGTCACATTACGTTTTATGACCATACCATACAAAATTCGAAATTAGATCGCATAAAACTGAAACAAAATAACCATGATATTTGCAATACATTATAATAGGATGGGGGACATAACTCTTTGTTTTGTTTAATGTGTGATGACTTGTTCATTTTTTGATCACACACGTGATTTGACACAAACTTGGTGCTACAGTTTCTTGAGAAGTTAATCAGGTAATAGCTGCCCATAAGAATACAGTTTTTGATGACTTATTTGGTGCTAGGCAAACCTTTGGTTGGTGTTAATTTAAGTGCAAAGAAAGTAGCAAAGGCCCAAAAGCCTACCAAAAACTCCCAGACCCACAGCATTTCTGTTTTTTTAACAATCCTGGATAAACCTGTTGCAAAACCTGTAACTAATCGTGCCGACAATGTGTCAGTAACGTCACACTTGCCAGCAGCATTGACCAGCAGAAGCAGAAGTGAAAGGGATTTGGGCGCGGCCCACTGGGTGCTGGAGGTTTTGTGCTTGCAAAGATACGTGACGTACGTCGTCACGCCCTTCTATGAACACCAGCAGCTGCATTGGCCATAGTAGCCCTCAGGATTCCATTGCGTAACTGGGGTCCAGCCCGAGCCCCACGGAGAGTCCAAAGTGCTAACCACTTGGTCATTCACCCTGACAGCGGGATAGCCCACTGGGAGGAATGGCTCAAAGGATGCATTAGTTCATGCATGCCTGGGGCTGGGTAATGAATGCGTGGTTGAATAGTCAAATATGCTGGAAAGTTTTCCTGTAACTTGAATGGATAAGATTCCCATTAAGCATATTCATGCCATGTATGGTATGACTTGCATGCTACTGGTCTAAGCTGCTCATGCTGATAAGTGCCTCTGGCTACCTAGTGGATTATTGAATCCACAGGTTGTGTTGAACATGACTGAAGATGACAGCAAAGGAGCCTATAACAGCTGCAGAAGCTGTCAGAAAGTGTGTACCAAGTGGCCTAAGTGGTTTTGTGCTGTCTTTGTCTGTGCACCCAGTTTCTGTAAAGACAACGTAACTGTGATCAAATGAAATACGCAGCTTCGCACCTCGTGACGTTATCTTCGACACTGCTACGCTGCCGTGCATTTTGACGCAGCACATCAACCTCCCTTTGTTGCTTCTCGCAACGTCAACAGACGCCCCAGTCGGGAGTGCCGGACAGCGGTCTTCCAAGCCAGCAGAAGCATTCCAGCCTGCTGGGTTTTCATCCCAGGCCCAACCCCAGGAAGGCTGTTGCGGGTAAATTAACCTCGTGCTGAGCCTGTTAGAATGCATGATATGTTTAACTGCATGGGTTTGCATGCTACTTTGCATAGTTTGGATGTGTGCCATTTACACCATTCAAGTGTGTAAATATTTCAGTGGAAGACCTTGATCTTCATCAGGAGCTCACTGGTCTCACCAGTCTCATAGAACGTGACTTTTCCGGCCGCTTTAAGTTAGTTTTGGCTTTGGCCGGTAGAAGTCCGCGATCCTTACGCGTGAACAATGGGTAAACTACATGGCTGTGGTGGGCCTCTGTGGCGGATGACAGGCGAGCCGTTTGTGTTAGTTGCCAACTGACTTTCCTAGACCGATCGGTGTCAACGATGCATCCACTCGGGAATTCGTGCCCGGTGGTTAAACAGTCTGGGGCCTTGCCTGCGGTGACGGCGGTGGCACTGCCAGTTGGACAAGAGCCCGTTGAACTGAGATTTGAGCCCTTCAAACTGATAAACATATAAAATATTGCAAGTTATGGTACCACATGTTACGTCGTTTTCTCTTGTCACAATAATTTAATTTTGTCTTGCTCCTGTTGAATAAACATCTCAGATACTTTATTATCCCATACCCTATGCATATCTGAAGCCAGATTTGTATCTGTCTATCTGTTTGCATGCCCATTGCCCTGCGTTGTTTGCTTCATAGAGTGGGTACTGTACTGTACTGCACTGTACTGCGTTTTCCTGGATTTTTGCGAAACTATGTTTTGAGTGCTTGCATCAATGAAGTGGATCTGCTGAATGTGCACTTGCCCCTTGCTGAATTGTTTACTCATGCTATAATTGGAATGTCTGTTGTCCAAGGCTTGCAGTAGTAATGATAATTTTCCAAGACGGTAGCATTTCCACCCACCCCTGTTCTTCCATAATGTCGAGGATGCATTTCTCAATAAAGGTTGGTACTGATGTTTGGATACCAAACGAATAGATGGCGCTCTGGTGAGCGATCCTGACCTGTGAATAGCGCGCGGGATGGCTGTATGTGCGGGATTCCCAGCGCTGACGTCGTGCCTTGCGCGCAGAGCGCTGGTCGGATCGCCTCTGACCTGTGAATAGCGCGCGGGGTGGCTGTGTGTACGGGGTGCCCAGCGCTGACGTCGTGCCGTGCGCGCAGAGCGCTGGTCGGATCGCCTCTCGCCTGTACGAGCTGCGGACCTACAGTCTGCGGATGGACCAGATGCGCCACTTTCTGGCCGGCACCGAGACGTTGTTCCACCTGCGCACCCAGCACTCGCCGCTGATCGGCTACTGGACCGCCGAGCTGGGCGGCCTGAACCAGGTGGTGCACGTCTGGGAATACGGTGAGGCACGGCACCCCGTCAGGAGGTCAGAGTGGGGCATGGCACCCCGCCGGGAGGTCGCCATTGAGGCACGGCACCCCGCCGGGAGGTCACCATTGAGGCACGGCACCCCGCCGGGAGGTCACCAGTGAGGCACGGCACCCCGCCGGAAATCAGGTGAGTAGGCACCCCGCCGGGAGGCCACCAGTGAGGCACGGCACCCCGCCGAGGTCAGATGGGGCATGGCATCCCGCCGGGAGGTCATGATGGCACGGCACTCCGCCGGGAGGTCGTGATGGGGCACGGCACTCCGGTGGAAGGCCACCAGTGAAACACGGCACAAGTGCATATTGCCGTTTTCTTCTGCTGTGTACCGTTTGTCGTCCCCAGTGTCGGCTTTTTGCCCGCCCCCAGTCGGTGGCCGGGCCACCATCCCACTCTCGCGCAACCGGCTCCCAGAGCTGAGACAGGACCTTGTCCCGTGTAACGGTGACACGGCTCGCCCTCGCTGCCCAGATGACCTGTCCCACCGGGCGGCGGTGCGTGCCAACTGGCCGCCGACGAGGAGTGGACACAAAAATACGTGACACCTGTCCTGAGCCCGGCCCTCGTGGCGCAAGACAACTTCCTCATGCGTCCGCTGGATGGCACCACCGTCAGTATGCCGACTGATACTGGTGAGAAATCGCGCTATGGGCGCTGCTTGTGATAATGGGCCTGAACTTCAAGTTTGACGCACATCGGGCGAAGGTGTAACCGCGAGCCGGGGCCTCATGTTTTCCATAGGGCGGGTATGATTTTAGTAGTGGTTATTATGCTCCGCTCTGACTAACCATTTACTTACTTTAGTTACGAACGATTGTGTCGTTTCCAACTGAGTTAGGTGTGCTGTACTGGTATGGCGTGTCCTCACCACCCGCTGTGGTTCTCTGTCTCTCGGAGGCTTAAAATGGCACGCACAACCACTTGTTACCGACCTTTTGACGCCAACTAGACATGCCGATTGCTTCTCCACGACTCCACCGGCCTGGCCATCTTGGGTTGTCCGGTATGTGCCTTAACTCAGAGACCGGCAATGCGGCAGAGTTGTGCCCTGTACACCACGGCCAGTATGCCAACTCTAGTGTGCGCGGCCGAGGTCTTGCCGCCGCACCGTGCGCACGCCGGGCTGTGCCCTCGTCGGCCTTTACGCCCTGCGCGAGCGTTCAGTGACGGGCGGCGGGTCCCCGCCGTCGGTGCTCTCCGTAGCGCAGACCGGCCCGCGAGCGTTCAGTGACGGGCGGGCGGGTCTCGCCGTCGATGCTCTCCGTAGCGCAGACCGGCCCTGCGCGAGCGTCAGTGACGGGCGGGCGGGTCTCGCCGTCGATGCTCCGTGCGCAGACCGGCCCTGCGCGCGCCGCCGACGCTAACCGCCGCGCCCCCCCCCCGCAGGCGTAACGGAGCTACAGCAGCTGGAGCTGCGCGGCCCGCCGGGGCGCTGGCAGCAGCTGCTGCGTGCCCTGGCGGAGGACGCCGGCTCAGCGGCGCCGCTGGTCGGCTGCTTCGTGTCGCTGGTGGGGCCGATGCACGGAGCCGTGCTGCTGCGCCACCACCGGTCAGGACGCGCTGCTGCAGGCTGGGGAAGACGCGCGCCTCGACCGCCTGTGAGTCCGACTTCGACCATCGGCTCTCTGCAATACATGCCTGCATCGGCAAAGAGAGCGCGGTAGTAATGCTCGATTCCCTGCGCATGGTCAAGCCGATGCCGGAATTTGTGCACCTTGGTGCGGTCGAAGGCCACGTTTGTGCCAGATCCCAGATCATCATGCATGCCAGCCATCCTTCAGAGGACTTCGGTAAGTTTCTGGGACGTGTTTCTGCGTCGCCGCTGTGGCGGCGGCTGGCGGGGCCGCCGTCGAGGGGACGCGGCAGCCGGCGGTCTGTACCGGCACCGCGATCGCTGATGGCGTCTTGTCATGTTTCAGACCAGCAGCTCATGGAGCACGTGCGAACGGGCCACAGCAAGCTGCTGCTGCCGCTCAAGGTGTCGCCGATCCAGTGAGGCGGCTCGCCGAACGGCGTCAGGACCTGAAGGCGCCCCCGCCGGGCTGCCTGCCGACACCACGGCAAGCGTACGGGTGTCAACCGTGTATACCTCCTGCGATTAAGATGCTTTTGCTAAGGTGCTATGAATCCTCACCAGCTGTGAGTTGTGTCACATATTCTGCTCATGAAAAACTCAGGCGTATGCAACGTAGCGTAATAGTGCGGGGCTGTGAGTTTTGCTATGTCGGCAGTGGCGCCAAGTAGGATGCACGTGCGTGGGCATTATTTACCAGCCGGCTTCTTAGCTCGCCGGCTGTTTGTACTCAGGGTCGGTGCAATACGGTGTATCGCTTACATGCGCTGGCCGGCGGAGGGTGCATGTGCTGTGCGCGGAGCGCGCCGCGGCGGACGCGCGACGCGCGTGTGATGGGATGACGGCGGTGTGAAGGGATTAACGTCTACAGAGGAACTATGGCTGAAATATACGACGGGGTACGGGACCGGTCGGGCATGCGTATACTGTTAGATGATGGCAGACTGCTGGTGGTGACGTCCTCAGTTCGGGTGAGGCTTGTTTGCGGGCAGCAGCCGACCGCTCGCCTAGCCGGCTTTGGGGAACGACTAGAAGAACGGCATTCCTAAGTATTCGGACGTTGGATCGGTGAGCTGTGGACTAGGAACGCAAACATCCATTCCGTTCGCCATTTGAATATGATGTCAAGCCTACACGAGCTAAATTGCTTTCTTCCGTTTTTCTTCATCTGTGTTACCTGCGCGTTTGGACCACGCTTCACGCCATTGTCTGGCACGTGGACATCAGTGGCTGAACTTCCTGCCGGTTTATTCCTGCATTAGTCTGCCGCACATTTATTAGGCTGGGTCGAGCGACTGTACAGGATACGTAACCGGCACGCTAACCTGCCTTGAAACTTTCAGTCATAACTAACGTCAGGTTCTGGGGGAGTTTCACGTTCACTTAATACACGAGCCTGTAGAATGCATAACATACCCATCGTCCTTTTTGACAATGCTGGGTTTCGCAGGTTTCACTGGCAGGTTTCACAAGGTCTTAAATATCTTGTAAGGTCGGTTGTTTCGAGAACCCTGCCATCAAATGAAATCGATTTTAATTAATGACAAGGATATGCACGTTCGACACCACACCTAAAAGCGAAACTTGAGCTAAGGCTCGGTAGTTGTGAGGCATCATGGCGCGGTTTAATGCGAAGAAATGAAGCAACCATACGAGCTCGTGTGGAGGCCTGTCGGTCGGGGAACAGCGAACATTCTTCGAACTTTATATTCTTAGGGCAGTGATAAGTAGGGCGCATCGCCCAGACTAGTTTGTAATTTCAGGCTTGTCGTTTCTGGTCTACGAGTTCTCGCGGCGCGGATAAAAATGCATAGATTTATACCATTGGTGAAACAAACCAGGCGCTGGTGACAAAGCCGGCGAGGCAGCTGACCGCAGACACGAAAACCGGCCAGCTGCAGCCGACCTGGGTTCGGGGAAAGACCTGGGCGTGTTGCTCCGACGTGCCTGAAAGTGACACCGGCAGTGCCGCTCAAATGAAGTCTGGGTGTCTCAGACGGTGGGTGCCGTCCAGAGCCTATCACCTGTGTCGCCTGTGCGTGCCTCACCACGAGGCACCCGCTCAACAGCGGCCCAGACGTCGGAGCCGACTGCGGCGGGCCTATCACGGTTACCGGGCCTAGATGCCTGGAGTTGGACGTGCCTGTTGCACGCCTCCCACATGGCCGGCGGTGGTAAGGGTGCGCTATCACGCGACTGTCATCTAGCCGTTGACACCTCATTTTGCTTCTATCACGCCACTTCCGACTAGCCAGAAACCCTTTGGTTCCTGAGCTTACCCGCAAACATGTGTGTGTGGGGGTGGGGTGGGGGGAATTGTGGGAGAGTTTGTCATATTCACATTGAAATGCATGACGTCATAACAACGACATTCAAATCCTGCCATTCCATAGGCCACGCGGGGGTCAAGGATAGAAAATTATAATGGTCGAGTCGTTCATATCTGGCATTCGTGAGTCCAGTTTCCAGATATAAGGGTCTTCAGTTGGTGCTCAACGTTGTGCAAGGTACGACGCCGTAAACAATGACGTATCGAGGGGCATATTTACAAAACGAAGGACTTGTGTTGTCTAGAGCATTTCTTCATTCAAAAACTCACCAATGAACGTAGTGAACTTGCTTCTCATATCTAATGCTTGCTTCAGTATCTTTAAATGCGAAACATTTCTTTCAAGGGCTCAACTGAACGATGGATGGGGAGGCAAACCCATCACAAGAGTACAAATCGACACTTGTGCCGCGTATTACATTAGAAACTTATATCAGGAGAGGAAGAAATTTCAGAGTGGTATTGTTTTTTTCGGAGTATTTTCTGGATACACGTGCCTTGTTTTTCAAGTGTTAGTTTTTTTATTTACCCTGCTCAACTCTTTTCAGTAGTAATCACAAGCCCTGCTTGCAATCTTGAGTACTGTCAACATAACCAATGTATGCGCTATCACGTTGCTTAGCCGGTATCTCTTGATATCTGGAAGGCCAATAACCCAGCGTAACAGCTCTGAGCTAATTACAATTTTTCAGGAAGTTGGAGCGGTTTTCAGCTGTGATGACATGCCTGGCCCAGCAGCATTGTCCAAATGCAGTTGACAATAACGACTGCTCGTCTCCTATCAGCATCAACTCATCAAATGCGATGGTGTTTGATGAAAGTGCACAGACTCAACATCGACATTTTATGCTAGGACCGGCCTCCTGCAACAAGACTTCACCGCCCCCGGGATCACGTTCCCGAAAAGCACGCGGAAATCGCAGTGGAAAGTGGATTACGCGGGCATTGTAACGCATTAGCAGCGCACGTGCAGTGCAGTGAGGTGGACAAAGACTTGCCGGGCAGTGTCGACGAGATAGTCGGGAAACAAGCGAAAACCCAGTCACCTTTCTTTACGAGCACGAAGCGAGGTACTACACATGAAAGAGGATCCCGAAATGAAAAAAAATGTTCGTTAAAATATGTCACCGTGGCTTCTCTAGCATAACGACAGAGAGACTGTGCGGACAAGCAGAAAATCTGCCCGGAGTACCGATCAAAACGGTCGGAAAACTTCTTCCAGTCATAACTTTAAGTTGAATGTATGCGCCAAGAAGTACATTCAGAAATGCTGTTTTGGAACAACCGTGTTAACCTTCTGCTTTCGTCCATGGCTACTGACACATTTGGAAAATAATGATATGTTGTTTTGTCGTAACACTGAATGTGCGGAATTTCATTTTCGCAAAAGTGCTGAGCGCCCGTAGAGAAAGCGAACACGCCGTCCCAGTTCTGCCCAACGCTTCTAGTACTCCTTGCTTCAGCTTCCTTGCATGCCACCAACCTCATCAATTTTTGGTTATTGGATGCCAGACAAAGTGGGGCAGAACAAGAAGTGGGGGATCAGTGCAAGGCAAGGATATGTCAATGTATAGTGATGCTATCTAGGAGGTCCAAGATATAGATATTACTAAATTGAAAGCGTGCTACCACAATCTTAATTTAAGTTTTTTAGGTGAGACCTTTATGATATGACACCCACCGAAAACACTTTCACTCGCTACCAGCATCATTGGCTGCGTTTTGTATTCTCATTAGTTCATGACGAGATAGGTATCCTGCACTCCAGCTGGAGTTGCTGGTGCATTTCATTGACCTTTTGCTATTTAATATTGTACTGTTAAGATATTTCCCGCACAAATGTTTCACTCCAATCCTTAGACATGGCCAACGCTGTGACACTGCCTTGTAGCCTATCATGAATACCTTAGCAGACACAATGCATGATACGGTACCCCTGGTAGTTTGAGAAAGGGGGGGGGGGAGCCGTGAGCTGCTGTCTTTTAGCTTCTCCCTGCCTTTGAGTTCAAGGATATGAATGCGTCATATCATCTGACTAAGCACACTCGCAACTACCTTTGATAAAAAGTTATCATTCTCGTATGCCAAGGCGCGGTGCAAGATATCGTGCGCATGAAGTCAGAATTCAGAAAGCAAGCATTCTGCAGTGAGGGCCCGATTTAATGTAACGCGCTTCCCGCAGTATTGAGGTCAGTGACCTAGTGGGCTTTATAAAGAGCAACATGCTAGTTAGTGCACAAAACCGCTAATTCGTGGTGTGTGGGGGCTACTGGGGACTTCGCACAGCTTAGAGCACAAATTCCGCAGCTTAAATACCTGAACGGGACATCACCATTGACAAAATATGACACGCTTGAACGAGCGAGGCTACATCCCTTCTGCGACGACGACCATGGCCGCCGAAGTGGTCGCACTGAAGGCCCCTGCTTCTGCTGGCTGTGATAGGACGCTGTCGGGCGCACTGAAGGATGACACTGTCACGAAGTCGCCTGCGGCTTCCTACGGGGACGTCACCGAGGGGGGGG